ATTAGTCAGCACTTGCCATTCTGCCTAGGCTATGCTGTTCTGCAACCTGGTATGTCCATTAACTCCTACAGCCTTGACGAGGACTCAGGAGAGCAGAAGTCAACCTGCAAATCCTGCACTCGTTTTACTCCTCCTGTGGTGGCACAAGCGAAACAGCCAGGCTTTCCATCCTTGTGTCTACAAACTGGTGACACGTGTGACACCGTTGTCAAAATGTGTAATTCAGTCCCCAGCKGTACATTCCTGCTCCTGCCCTGAGCCCCACACGGTGCCTGGAGCCACCTGTGAAGAGCAATAACCCGTGCAGAGAAGTACAAAACCTCACTTAGTTCTGACATGGATTATTGGGCTTGTGAAACAGAAATTATAAAGCAAGAGGGAAAAGGTCACAGTCACACATGCAATGAGAATTACTGACATAGACCTGACATTGGAGACAGTCCATCAGAAAGATCCATTTGAGGCTAGAGATACAAAGATTRTCATAATTTTGCCAGTGGGGAATCAGGATCCTGCTGGAGGAAGGGATTTGGCCAGAGAGGCTGCAGGAGAAATGGAGCAGCTCCAAGGTCAAGGTCTRTCATACCTTAAGTTTATAGTGTCATGATGATTCCCAGTTATCATAAGTGATGAAGAAGGGACAATATAGTAGGATATAGCAGAATATAGCAGGAATAAGTAACATGTCCAGGCACAAAGTAGTATTAGGCTATTGTTTAGGATATTAGACTCAATTAAAAAAAAAAAAAGGAATAAGTAACATGTCCAGGCACAAAGTAGTATTAGGCTATTGTTTAGGATATTAGACTCAATTAAAAAAAAAAAACAGACCAAAAGAAAACAAAAAAGCATCAAAAAAAAAAAAAAAAGGGAAGACATGAAATAAGATCCCACTTCGACACTGGGAAGATCACCTTGCCGTTCCCATGTACAGGAGCAGAGAGTCCGTGTCCTGCGCGGGGAGCAGGGCTGGCTGGGGCCGCCGCAGTGCCGCCGGATACAGCCTCACGGAGCCACCCATCCAACCACGCTGCACACCACGGCACGACTGCACCCCACGCACCAGCACTCCAATAAGCCACAGGAACCTACGTTTGGCCACGTTTACAAGAATGTAATCTCATAAATAAATCAATAAATCTGGTTATTACCAGAGAACATCACAATGTGTTTTCTTGTAGGGAAACAACGTATCCTGTAGGACAACCAAAGCACGTGTGCACCAGCCGCCAGGTCCCAGCTCCTGCCCTTCGGAGGGGTGACAGAGGGGCAGGGAGCCCAGGGCCCCARCGAGGGGCAGGACCAGGAGTGAGGGAAGAAGAAAACAGATGTAAAGCACAGCATGAGATTGCCTGCATTTTAACACTGTAAATAAAAGCCCGATGTTGCAATCACAGAGTAGAGCAATAATCAGCATCAACTTTTTTAAGAGAACAGGAATAAAATTTCCTCCCGCGCTTGTCACAGCAAGTACTCCTTTTTTATGTGTGCCAAATCCAACAGAAATGACACCGTTGTCGTTTATGTTTCTTTGTTCTTAYGTTTCTTATATTTCAAACAAGTTTGAAATAAGCCCAGGGTCTTCCCGAGTATTTGCTCTTTTGCTCTACCCGTTTAAGCCTGCCTTGAAGGTTGGAGGGACAGAGCAGAAAGCCGGAGCACCTCGCCAGGGCAGCATCAGTCCGTCGCCTGCCCAGATGTTTGCACGGGTTTCCCCAGAGCCCTATTTGGGCCAGGAGCTTTTAATAAAGAAGTGAGGAGGCCGTCAAGCAGAATGGAGCGAACAGCCTGGGCAATAACCATAAATGTAAACATTGCTTTCCATACACACTACAGCTGCTAATGTGTTAATTAAAGAGAAGAAAATAGATTTAAATTATTTATTCTTAATAAATGAAGCATCTGAATAATAAATAAATATGTGTTCTATAGTCACTGGGAAGTATTTTTAATAAAAATGCTTTTCTGCAGCAGGAGGATCCACGTGCAAGGTGGGGAGGGGAGAACTGTATTTGCTTAAATAGCATTAAAAACCCAACTGAAGCCACAAAACTAAAATGCCAGAAATGACCCCTGCCAGTCGCCTACAGCATCATCCTGTAGACTTGTGTATAACATGATAATTKCTTTTTAAGAATGCAGTTGGAATTTGGAAAGCTTACAAGGAATTTTAGCCCACACTTGCTAATCGCTATCATGAAAACGCGTAGCTATTTGCTCAGCTTTGTTGCCCAAAGCCTTGATAGTGAACCTGCTTTAAGCTGCTCTCTTTACTGATCCCTAATATTGGTTGCAAGAACAGGTACCTTCTACCCCAATTTCTCCTTGGATGATTCCTACCTAAGCTGCCAATCAACTTGTGGTTGGAGATGGTGCTCGTGCCGATTCCAGACCCCGGGTTCCCAAGCCTGCACCGGTGCAAGGGCTCGCAGAGAGCGACCCTTCCACTGCACGGACACACCAGGGCTCTGCTCCTTCCCCGTGTTTACAGCACCTGGCTTTTAATGAAAACACACCGTTCTCACCCTAGTGTCATATTTACCAATAAGCCAACACCTGCTAAGTATTTGCCTTTCCATTTGTAGCAGTGAGAGGAAAAACAAAATCCTATTGTCCTTCCTAGGTGTTATCTTTATAGATACTTAAGGCACATTTTTACATGATTCAATTAGAATTTGGAAGCTGGGATCTTCTTTCRTAACATTGGTGAGAGAGACAGCAAAGTACAAGAAAAGTAGCAAAAGTTTTGCTAATTTTTAATGAAAGTAACACAGGTTTTCAACTTGGACATTGGATCTACACCGTGAAATGAAACTAGGGTGAGATAAGAATGACCCTGCAGACTACTAAGTGTTTTGCTTACAAATAAGGCATCTCAAGTAATGCTCTATCTGGAAGCGTCTTTTATCTTAGGAAGATCACGTCCTAAGCCTGGATGATCCAAGTGATCCAAGCCATTCCCCTTCTCCCATCCCCCCTTCAAAAAAAAAGGAAGAAAAAGAAGAATGCTCTTTATTATTTTGCCAGATTTTTTTTTTCCTAACAAGATACCTTTACAGAAGGGAGCCAACACACGCATGAGCCAAACTCATCCCTGAGAGCAGCACAGCAGAGGGACAAAGGGCAGTAAGAGGTTGGTAGGGACCAGTCACAAATGACAATTTTTTAACCCGAGTCAATGGCAGCCAGAGCAGCCTGCAGACCCAAAGCAAACCCAAGTGTGGGAGCTGTCTGCACGCAGGGGCACTGCAAGCCTCGGCGTTTACATTTACAGCGTTGGCTGCTGTTTTGCAGGAAGCTGCTGCTGCCGCCTTCAGTTTTTCCCCCCCACACACTCATTTACGCTTTGAGAAAGATTTCAATGGAAAAATTAATGAATCCTAAAAACGCGATTCCAAAATAGCCAGTGCGCCTCCTTATTTCTTCTATGGAGTATTGTTATTAAAAGGGAACAATCTTTCTCTTCTCTCCTGCATTTGCAATTGAGGCCAGAAGCAATGAAGCTGCTCGTAAGGCGCTGGATGATCAAAGCTGCTGCTGAGGGCCTAGGAGCTCGAACCCCCAGGAAAGGGAGCCCAGCAGCCGCTCCACGACTCGCAGCGAGGCCAGAGAAGTTAACAGAGGGAGCCCYGTGTAAGGAGATGATGCTCCCCATAGGTTACCAGGCCAGGAAACCAGTGCTGCTCTGCAGGCAGCTGCACAAAAACGTGGCCTTYTGGAATACTAAGTCAGTGTGTTATGGGATGAACTTGATGCTTGCTGAACATGGATGTCAACTTGAACATGCAGCAGAAAGGGGCCCTTCAGCTTGGCACCAGAACAGCAGCAGCAGCCCAGCCCCAATAAAAACTGATAAATTTTTGAAAGTATCGGGTCAGAACTGAAGGGGAAAATAATACTTATCTCCATCCTCAGGCTAGCCACTGTAGCCCCCATAAAACTGCATAACAAAAAGGGTACAGGATGTGGTTTTCCATGCCCTTTACCTTTTCTCAAATCCAAGTTCTCATACTTGTCCACACTTTCTTTAACTTTCAAAAGAACATTTATTTTATTTTCTTCAGCCTCAAAACTTCCTATATTCATCAATACCTGCTGTTCCCACTTTCTTCTGATTTCTGTATCTTTTCTAAATGATACTTCCTGAAGTGCTAGAATAAAGTGTCAGACTCTCAATTAGTGTAAACTAGCAGCAGAGCTGGGAGGATTTCATGCTGCATTGACAACAAACACGAGTTGTTCCAAAGCAACACCTGAACAGCCTCCATTTATTCATCAAGCAGCAATCACACCCTCCCTTCACCAATTCCCTATTTTCAAAAGGAAAAAAATGCCTCTGCGGAAACCTGATAATCTGCTACACAAATACTGTCAAATGCAGCACAGCGATTAGCATCCTCGTAACTGCTGCCTTGCCGTTTATTTGGTTACCAACTTATTGCAGCAAACTGAATGTCCAAAAAAACGAGATCATGTGGATAAAATTTTGCATTCACTATAAATATTTTCCTCAAGCTAAATTTGAGCCAGTTCCTTTTAATAGTTGTTCTTCCTCTGTTTTTGCCTTTTTTCTTCTGGTTAAAAATTGTTTTATAATTTCCCATCTTCTTGGCCAAGCCTGCTTTCTCTTGCCTATATCTGGGCAATTTTGTGTTCTGGCAGCGCAGACCTCTCAATGGGGCCCACTTGAGACTCGGTTCCGATCTGGTGCAATGTGGCTTTTCTTTTGTTTTTTTTTTTWAAGGAATGGTATGTCTGCATAGCAGGAGCTCAGAGTATTTAGACACTGTTTTCCAGCAGTATCTCATACTATACAGCTGCCCCTGGCTTCTGCTGCTCTAGTTTCCTTGGCAGTAACTATACACTTGTGTGGAGAGAGGAAACCTGGGTGGGTTTTGTGGTTCTAAAAACACCACAAAGAAATGAGCAAGAGCATGGACTGGAAACAGGTCAGAAAAGCTGTTACTGAAAGACAGTGTTTCCAAAAATGAGAAATAATGGGAAAATGACATCAGAGACCTGATGCTGCAACGCACCCACATAGCTGCCCACATGGATCCACACATTTCACCTTCAATAAAAGTCAGCTGAATCCAAATAAATGAATTTCAGTGCAGTCCCTTTTAAAAGATGAGTTTGACAGAGTGACATCAGCATGGAGTCACATATACAGGGCAGAGAGGGATGGGTTCATCATTCCAGGAGACAAGATGAATTCTCAATAATATAATCTTATTCATTCTGTATTTCTGAGCTAAAGAAAGGGCAAGCTCCAAAGAGCTGAAATCCTGGAATTATTCCAGATGCAGTGCTGTCCTTTCACCATAGATTTAGATGAAACATTATTTTCATTACTCACAGTATACCGTAAGACATAAAAGGACAAATAAGCTATTAATTTCATCAGAGGGAAGGTAAGTTCAAATCTACGGTGTTTGCAAGGTTCTTGATAATGCAACAGCAGCTCTACTTATATTCCCTTTACGTCTTGGCTCTCCATCAARGTTTAGAGTTTCCAGAAGGCTAAGCTCTTAGCAGCAACACCACCGAACACTGTAATTACTCTAAAATTTCTCAAGCACTAAGTTTTAATACAGAAATACAGTCTGAGCAGGGAACCTTTACACTGGAAGGTTTTTCTGCATGTGCTGGAATTCAGGGCAAAGCACCCAGCGCAGACAGGCAGGATGCTCCCGGTGCACGTTGTGCTCCGCACGGGGACCCCATCCCAACGGCCCCGCTCCCGTCGAGCCGCGCTAGGAGTCCGGCTGAACAGTCACTGCCCACAGACCCCAGGTATTTGGGCGAGGTGGGTGCCACATAAGGCATCTGCTCAGCCCCACAGCCTGGGGCTGCGCKAGGAAAGCGGTGTGACCCGCTGCTCAAAGAGGGTTAGGTGGCTCGTGACGCTCTTCTCCTTCACTCGCTTTCTGGCAACGCAGCCCAGGATTCTGAGTTAAGTTTATTTATTTTCCCTACAGAATGCCATTAGTGAAAACGCTCTCGCTTGGAAAATTACATCTTGCTACGCTTTCAGGGAGAGCGTTAGTTGCTCTTCTCAGTAACTGAGAATTTCCTATTTTGAGGATTGTAAACTGCAGCGATGCTTGGRGTAGTGATGAATTCAGACTGAGCTTATTAGCCCATTAATGCCTGAAATGCTGCAGTTAATGGACGAACAAAACAAAAAGGTAGAGCAGCAGAGCTTCTTTTCAGAGCTGCATCTTCCCACTGCCAGTAGAGACTTGCTGCAGAAATTCTTTTTTTTTTTCCAGTGAAATTTCTCTGTCAATAAACCATAGAAAAATATTGCTAAAAAATATAGTTCAAAAAATGACTGGCATTTCGTTAGTCACTGGCAATGACAACATGGCTTCTAYGTTTTAGTCACTTTTTGCTTTGAAAAGGCTGCAATTTAGCTTTGCTAATGTGAAAAACTACTATCAAGTAACAAATTATTACTCTCCAAAAAGTTCTAGATGCTGCTATCAATTCATAGATAAATCAAAATACACCATTAAAATACCAAACAATTAAGGAGTGTAAAGTTATTTCAGATGCCCATGGATCAATAAAGTACAACCTGTACCTTCATCAGGCTAAAACTGCCTGTTAAGCAATAGGAATTATTGATTTTTCTAAAATGTTTTTCAAGTCCGTTGTTACTCTCGGCTACCTGCGGGACCGCCTGCAGGCCGCTCTCCTGCTCCTCTCCGTGCCCCGTGCTGCAGGTTGCTCTGCGGGGGCACTCGCAGCTCCGCTCGGCCCTTCCACACACACAGTCACTGCTCGTGCAGCATCAATGCCGAGCAGCAACACGGCAGTGCTGCCTCCCTGGCGTGCCTGCAGCCAAAGTCCTGCCAGCAARAGCCAATGCTTCCTTCTCCCCTGCTGCCCACAGACTCCTCGATGCCATTTTCCAAGGGATAAACCTAATGGAGGGCAACTTTCTATCACTTTTTTTTTTTTGCTCCCACCGTTTTTTTTCCCTTGCATTTCTAAGACGCACCATCTTCCTGTCATCAGATGAGGGATTCTGTATGCAGCTGCATTTGTGACTAGTCCTGGACAGTGCTGCTGTCTCGCCCATCCACACGAAGCTTTCTCAGGGCAGTGAGCACCTTAGGGCRGTTTCCACTGGAGCAGCACAGGCTGAGAATCAGTTTAGGAACTTGGGGTAAGGGCAAAGTCAAACAGGAATGAGGTAAATCCTAGGAGAAGTAGTTTGCTGAGCAAAAGTGAAGAAATGGTGCAATTGCTTTGCATCTTTCAGATCTCCAAGWTCTTTGCATGTGAAAGAACTATAACATTTGACCACAAAGAGATGGATAGTGCACAAAGTTCAGAAAACAAACAGAAAGAGGTAATGCTGAATACTGCCAGTCCTCCAAGTTGTTTTTTTCCACTTTATTAAAAGATGCTGAGATTCTGTTGCTGATAAACAGACACCTCAGTTGTAGTGCCAGTAGCTTTGGTGTGATGAAAATCTTGGGCACAAGTCACAAGGAAAAGTCCTTGGAGATGCTTGGATTTCGTGCAACCATCAGCAACAGGCACAAGGGAGCTCTACAACAACCATGAAAGCAAGGGAGCCTGTACTGAAGGTGGTGGCACATGGACTTCCAACCAAAACTGGCTGATTTCACTGAGCTCAGGTTCAAAGCACTGCACAATAGACTAAACTGCAACTCAGACACACTGTGAAGTGGAAATGGGATTAACTTTTTAGACCATGGCCCAACAAAACACAAASAGAGTGCTTAGAAATGAACAATTGCCACAGCTTTCAAGGTATAAGCTATATTGTGCTTAATTMAGTATTGATTATTTAAGGTTTCTGAGAGAAAATGTTAGCTTATTGCTCTTCTCATGAGATCTATATCAACATTTTGGATTTTAATAACAGGAACAGCAGGATAGAAAAATGAAGAGTTGAATGTTCCAAAAAGTTAAAATCCCAGTTTTGCTCTCCAGGTGTTAAAATGACTATAAACTACCATTTCACCACAGATGATTAATTACTGTCCTGATGAAGAGAATTGCTATTATAATGCAAAGATTCGATCTGAAGAAATCATTTTTTACAGTTTCACAACTAGCTAAAGCAGGAAAGGACTCGTTTCAAGCCCATGGAATGCACAGGGCCAGCTACCACTGATTTCACCATTGAGTTTTGCAAAGCATAATATCCAGAAGCCTGGAGGAAAACGTTCCCTGAGTTCAGCTGCCAAGAAATCACATCTCCAATCCAGTTTTAATTAAGTCACATATGTGAAACAAAAAAGAATTAAATCCAACTATATTCTCCATTTTTTTTGGTTTTTTGAGGCCGGGGGTGGGGGGGGGGGAAGTGAATTGCACTTATTCTGCACATGAAGAGCAGCAGTCTGGGTGCTCTCTGGACAAAAGAAGATGAATTACCCTTTCTTAAGGGAGGCTTTGCCAGGAATTGTTTGTACCCAGCTCCTATATGATGCAAAGGTTCGAGCTAAGCAGCCCCCGTCAACTGAGACGTGGGACATGTTAGTTGGCCTTAGACTTTAAAGCAGGCCGAGTAGTTTGCTTAGCAGCCTCCTCTCTTACTGCAGCTCAAGTGAGTAGCTTGGCTCCACTTTCCTTTTGTCCAGCGGCTGCAGCACTTCTGTTCCCCAGATACTGCTCATGTTGCAAATCCTGAATGATTTTTTCCTTTAAAGATAAGACAATTCACTGAATACAAATGCTTTGAGAAATTTGTRTGTTTATGTTAAAACTTAATTATACTGAGGTGCATAAAACTGACAGCAAATAAAAAATTGAAACACTAATATATGAAATGTACTATGTATAGGCCAGCCCATTATTAGAGGGCAAAAAAGCCATCACATCAGATATTTAAAAAAGAATTCTAATAGTGGAATGTATTTGAAAAAGAGAAAGTTATACTCAAGTCAACCACTTCTCATTTAAAGAAATCTCACATTAAAATAGAAATACCGCTTGCATTCTGAGCCACAGATCAATCAGGAAAAAAATAAAGCAAAATTAACATTGAAGGAAAGGGAAAAAAAGAGCACAAAAATCTAAGCAGAGCAAATTTGAGTTTGGAGAAGGAGGAACAAGAGGAGGAAGAGGAGGAGGAGGAGGCATGCGTTGTCTTCAAAATAAGCTAGCAGAAGCTAAGTGAACAGTCTCAAAACCCCAATCACGCTGCAGGGATGTTATGCATCACTAGGGTCTCCTTGCACAATTCTAATGAGGAACCTGTTGCCCTTAGTTTTATTAAGTACWATAACCCATCAGCTTGAAGATGGACAAGTTTCACACTAAGACTCAATTTCTTGCACTTCCCACCTGCTTCTCCAGATACTCTACAAAAGCAGGAGAATCCAAAACACACTGGTCCTTATTCCTCTTCTACTGAAGGATTCCAAAGTGTTTTGTGAAGCATTTAAGTCTCACAGCTACTTTCTCTTCACAAAGGTGTTAGTCCTTTTCTACAGAAAATGCTTCAGCAATAAGAAGTTTCAGTGTCCACAGCGAGATCACACAGGCAGTTCTTCATGAACCTGAAGAGCTGGTTCCTGACAGGCAGAGGAGCAGGACAGGAGCCAAGCTCCCCAATGCTGCTGTCTCTGCCCCAGTGGGGGAGCAGCTCTCTGAACGCATCTCTTAGAAACTGCCCCATTTACTGCTTGTGAGTAGCTCTTCCTGGTAAATAAATAAGCATCTTTCAGCAACGGTGTTGCAACAAAGAGTAGGAAGCTCCTGGCTGGGCACACGCGGCTTTGGTCTCCTCTGATGGAGAAGGAACAGGGGCTGAAAGAGGACATGGCCTCCACAGGCACCTTCATAGAGGTGTCTGGAGAAGATGAGTGTCCCTCTGCTGCCATCTGCACCATTGAAAGATGTGGAAAAACTGCAGGGGGATTATGAAGGAGGTGCAAGAATGCCTGGAGAACTGCAAAGTGTTTTGCACAGACCAAACAGGAAGTTCATGCTCTTCAGTTCGTGCAAGTGCACTAAGCAGGTCTGAAATCAGGTAATACAAAGACAAGTCAAGTATGAGGTCATTCCATTTAGCAGACAAACCAAATAACTTCCAAAAGCTGACATGASAAATAAGAAATAATAAATTAAAATAGTTATTGCAACAGATTACCAAGAAAAGAGACAACTTCTTCAACGCACAGCGTCACTAATGCGAGGGCAGTGGCCAAAGGGCGAGGGCGGCCAGGCCRCGCGCGCTCTCGGCTGAGGTTAATATCTCTCCTGGGCACCCAGGCAAGTCTGCCCCAGCCCCATGAGAACAGATGCAGCAAGTTAAGAGAACAGCACAAATAAGAGAAAAGGGGAAAAGGTAAAATGTAGGCAAAYAAGGAACACTGCATTCTGCTATGCTACAATTTCGCTGCTTATAAAGGGGCTAAGAAATAACACAAGGACTATCCATCAGAAGCTAGTTTAAAGTTTGTGCTATTTTGGGATCCTCAATTCAGAAAGAGCTCAAGTGCTCATAACTGACRAGTCCCTTTACTCAGGTCCATGACTAAAAGCCATACAGAGATCACAACTTCACATTATCTAGTCTGTGCAGCAGTATCAGACTTTATGCTACAAGGATGTCAGGAATACGCATTAATAATTCACTCATTTTTATTCACTGTGCTTTAATTTTGGTTAGTATGATAACCCACAAGTCATTTTTCTTTGAAACACAATATAGCTGTTACAAATTTAAGATGTTTGCAAAGGAATACCCTACACCGACTTATATAAAATCATTTAAACACTTCATTTTCCATTTCTGAACTAAGCTGCTTAGAAACTGGGAAAGAGTAAGTGCAGTTGTTGCAGTTTCTTTGTATCCTTGTGAGATGCAGAGTACACAGGTGGTGCTGCCCRGGTAATTACGTGTAGGACTGAACTGAGGAAGACTTTGAAGGCTCTAACTAATGGAATCATTCACCTGGAGCCCTYGCGAACTTCTGCTCATGCCATGAAAGCCACTTCAAAGCCAAGGATTTTATGAAGATTTTTGTTTGATAAAAAAAGTCACAAAGGTTTTTGACTAAATTGTCAGAAACACTTTTCAATATGTGGCAGCAGCAGAAAGCAAAGGAGTGTTGCTAATAAATAATGGCACAGCACGCTCAGAAACATGCAGATGAAAGCATTTCAGGTAATGCTGTCAGAGGAACATGAGTGACCTGGGAGTTCTTCATGATGCAGTTGTGATTTATAAACCAAGACTAGATATATCAAGGAAAGAAAATGGAAGCAGAACTCTAAAATCTTTTACAGAT